GGATCTTTCCTGCCCGACCCCGCTCTGCTGCTGGCTCTGCCCCTCTTACTGGTTTGGCTGAAGGGTTTGTTGTTGTCAGACTTCCATGTAGTTCAATTTTCTGTGGTTTGGCTGCATTTTTGTTGCTAAAACTTTGTTGTTTTTAAACTTGGTTGTGTGAGAAGGTGCAGTGTTTCCACCTATGCCTCCATCTTGGTGGAAGTCTTGATAAATCATTCCTCTATTTATTTTTTTAAATTATATTTTATTATGCTATTACACTTGTCCTACTTTTTCTTTGTCTCCCTCCACCAAGCACCTCCTAGTTCCTCAGGCAATCCCCACACCATTGTTCATACCCATGGGTCCTGCATAGGTTCTTTGGCTACTCCATTTCCTATACTGTACTCTATATCCCCATGGCTATTCTGTAACTACCTATTTGTATTTCTTAATCCCCTCACCTCTTCACCCATTCCCCCATGACCCCCTTGCATCTGACAACCATCAAAATACCCTCCATATCTATGATTCTGTCTGTTCTTTGCTTAGTTTGGTTTTTAGATTCAATTGTTGATAGATATGTATTTATTGCCATTTTATTCATAGTTTTGATCTTCTACTTTTTCTTAACTAAGTCCCTTTAACATTTCATATAATAATGGTTTGGTGATGATGAACTCCTTTAGTTTTTCCCTGTCTGGGAAGCTCTTTATCTGTTCTTCAATACTAAATGATTATCTTAGCTGGGTAGAGCAATCTTGGCTTTAAGTCCCTGCTTTTTGTGACTTTGAATATTCCTTGCCAATTTCTTCTACCCTGCAAAGTTTCTTTTGAGAAATCAGCTGACAGTCTTATTTGAACTTCCCTGTAGGTAACTAATGCTTTTTTTTCTTGCTGCTTTTAAGAGTCTCTCTTTATCTTTATTAGCCTTTGGCATTTTAATTATGAAGTGTCTTGGAGTGGGCCTCTCTGCATCCCTCTTGTTTGGGACTCTTTGTGCTTTCTGGTTTGCATGTCTATGTTCTTCACCAAATTAGGGAAGTTTTCTTTCATTATTTTTTTAGACAGATTTCCAATTTCTTGCTCTTTCTTTTCTCCTTCTGGCACCCCTATGATGTGAATGTTGGACCTTTTGAACTTGTCCCAGAGGCTGCTTATAATATCCTCATTTCTTTGGATTCTTTTTTCTTCTTGTTCTGCATGGTTTGTTTGTTTGTTTTTTGCTTCTTTATGTTCCAAATCATTGATCTGATTCTTGGCTTCATCTGATTCTACTCTACTGTTGTTTCTCTATAAATTGTTCTTTATTTTAATTAGTGTATCCTTCTTTTCTGACTAGATCTTTTTTATGCTGTTGAGGTCCTCACTAACTACCTTGAGCATCCTTATTATCAGTGTTTTGAACTCTGCATCTGATAGATTTCTTATCTCCATTTCATTTAGTTCTTTTCCTGGAGTTTTGATCTGTTCTTTCATTTGGGCCATGTTTCTTTGTCTCCTCATTTTGTCAGACTTGCTGTGTTTGCTTCTATGTATTAGGTAGAGCTGCTACAACTCCCTGTCTTGGTAGCATGGCCTAATGTAGTAGTTATCCTGTAGGGTCCAGTGGCACAGCCTCCCCATCACACAAGATGGGTACTCAAGGTATACCCTTCATGTGGGCTGAGTACACACTTCTTCTGTAGTTGAGACTTGATTGCTGTTGTCAGGTCAATAGGAGGGATTTATCCAGGTCAGTCAGCTGCAAGAACTGGCTGTGACCACTGACCAGCAACTTCTGTCCTCCATAGAGGATCAGCTGTATGGGAATAGGGTGATGGTGCTGTGATGTGGTCTGTACCTATCCACTGGGTTTGACATCTCTGGAGCTTCCCCGGTGGTGCAGGCCGAGACCAGCTCCCACCTGTGTTTTGCCCACGGCCACTCTGTCTGAGCTATAAAGCAATCTGAGGTGGCTGCTTCTTGTGCTGGGCTTGGAGATTACCAGGTGAAGCCAAGCTGTGAATCTAAGCTGGTTGCTGCTAGTGCCAGGCCTGGGGTCACTTAGCAAGAGGTGCTAGCACTGGGGTCTCGCTGAGGCTGGCTGTTGCTTGTTTGAGAGGATTTAGGAAGTTGTGAAACATGAGTTAAGCTCAAGCACCCATTCATGAATGGTGCTTAGCCCATTTATGAGCTAAGCTCATGAATCCCAAGCAGCCATTCATATGGAAAAGCAGCTTGGGTGGGCCCCAGAGTTGGGTGGGCCCCAGAGTTATGTAAGAGTCTTGGGGTATCTCCCAAGGGGAGGGGCAAACAGTGTTAGCCAGTTTAATGGAGTCTTAGACCAGGCTGCTGGCTCTGTGACTGTGGGGGCTGTTCAGAAAAGGGACATTGGCCTCTGCCCATCTGTCTGTCCGCCAGCCTTCACCTTGATACCAGACACCAGATTCTCCCTGTATGCCACTGGTACCTTTCAAGCTGCTACCCTAGTGCTGTAGCTCAGAAGGAGTGAGTCTGAGTGCATCCATGTGTGGGTTTGTTAAGAGGAACTGCTTGGGATTCTAGAAGTTTCTTCCACCAATTCAATCCTAGCTATTTTTTGCAGCCCAAAGTTATAGGGACTTGTCTTCCTGGTACTGGTATCCTGTGCTAGGGGGTCTGGTGTGGGACTGGGACTCCTTGCTCCTGAGATACCCCACCTGAATTTTTATCTACCAAGTGTGGATGTGGGACCAGCCTGTTTCGTGTCTCCTCCCCTCCTACCAGTCTGGATGGATGTGGTTTCTTTAATTCTAGAGTTGTCAAACTTTCATTCAACTCAATTTCTGACGGTTCTGCGTGAAGTTCTATATTTTAGTTGTAATTTTGATGTGGTTGTGTCTGGAGGCAAGCCGTGTTTCCCAGTGCTGCCCTCTTGACCTGAAGTCCATGTAAAATCATTTGGGCTGGTATTTTCTCTGTGGAAAAAAAATAAATTGTGATTCAATTTTTTATAGGACTATTTAGTTTATTTTAAAATTAGTTTTCTCATTTTATCCAGTGATAACGTGTGTATTTGTGTGTATATATGGCTGTTTTAATAGTCTGATCAACACACCTACTTCATTGTATGGAATATTTCATTTTATCTTTTGAACACTTCATATTTTAATCATTCAGTATCATAATTTTTGTACATCTCCCTTGATAACATTAAAAAACTAGATTTCTGCCCTGGCTGGTGTAGCTCAGTGGATTGAGCGCAGGCCTGCGAACCAGAGTATCGCGGTTCAATTCCCAGTCAGGGCATATGCCTGGGCTGCAGGCCAGTTCCCAGCAGGGGACACACGAGAGGCAACCATACATTGATATTTCTCTCCCTCTCTCCTTCCCTTCCCCTCTAAAGATAAAAAAAAAAACAAAACTAGATTTCTTTTATTCCATTATTTAAATTTTTGAGTTTGAATAATTAAGTTTAATGCATTTGTAATTATTATAATTACTGGTATAAAGGTGTGTGTACTTACTTTTCTGTTTTATGTTGTCCAAGACCACAGAGTGATAGAAGGTTAATGAGAACCTCAGTCTTACCACCTACTTGTGGCCTGACTTGTTCTACATTTATAAAGTGGTGTGTGTGTGTGTGTGTGTGTGTGTGTGTATTGGAGCATGTCCAGGACAGAGAGGGATTACTTAGCAGTTGTGTGGAGATTAGGGATCTTGTGCTTCTGTCCATTTTCTGATCTGAAGTTCGGTGGGGTCTTCCCAGTCCCCAGAGAGTGCCGAGCACACACCCGAGCGTGGGTCATCAGGCAGTCTCCGAGCTCCCCAGAGCCGGGACTTGTTTGTGGACTGTGACCCGCTATCCCTTCTATCCTGCACTTTGAGAAAGCAAACCGGCAATCAAATGGTAATTGTTTCCTTCTGTGTGGATTTCGCATTCCAGAGACTGCCGTGGTGAGTAGGAAATTGGCTCTTAGAAGAGTACAGGGACCTGGGATTAGACGTCAGGCCTGCAGTGCAACTGTGGATGGGGTGGCCCTACTGCCCACATTTTCCGTCTGTTGGCCTTATAAACAGTTCAAATGCCCTAGAAATTCCGCCAAAGAAGCTCAGAAATCCCTTATTAGATTGTGTCGCCCCAGTTTTGGTTTGAAAAATATATCACTGTACTTAAACCAAAAAGAACGGTGGAGTTTAAAAAGGGAAAAACTGTCCTCTTTGAGACATCAAATGAGAAAGGGCTGACCCAATATCCCTGATTTCTGAGGAGTCTAAGCGCTCTTCCCCTTCGCTGTTCATCCAGGCGTCTGTGCGGACATTCAGCCCCATTCCCCTTCAACATCTGCTGGGCAGGGGCATGGCGCTAGGAACCCAGCTAATTGTGACAGGGTCTCTGCCCCCAGAGACTTCCTGTCTGTAATGGGGAGATGCAATGTGGGTATATGGAGTGATTAATACAGGTTAAAAGTGTGAGTACATCAGCGGATACAGTTTTCCAACTTGAGAAGATCCAGAAAGCAAGTCGGATTCACTGAACCCTCACTGGCACAGACACAGCGTCTCTCCCGCTCATTCTCCTGATCGGGGCACGTCACTGCGGCAGCCCAGAGCCAGGAACCACCCAGGGGTGAAAGGACAGGGGGGCACATGCAGGGATGGGACGACTGTTTGGTGGTTGTATGTGCAGACAGCCCACCACAGCAACTTAAATGAAAACAAGACTGTTAATCTAAAAGCTGGAGAATGTCATCTCATTGTTTTAGCTAGCATGGTTTTGGTCGGCAGTGAGAGCCGGCCGTGTTTTCCCAGGTGTCTAATAGGGTGAGGTTCATATCTTAGCCCCAGTGGTCACAGTTCTCCACCTCTGACAGGTCTCTTCCTGTCACACCCAGCCCAGGATTGAAGATGGTTTCTTCAGCGTTGACTTTGTAAGTGATTCTGCCAAGGCTTCTGATCCATCCCCTCCTCCTCCCCTTTTACTACCTTTGCTCTTTACTGGTTCCCTGCCCATGATGTCTGCCTTTCTTACGAAGATTCCCACCTCTCTCTTGTTTTAGGCACGAAAACAGGTGCAGATATTAGCGATGGTGCCTGTGAGCCCAGACTGACCTCGCCAGCCTCCTACTTGAATCCTTTCCCAGTGCTCCATCTCGTTGAGGACCTGAGACTGGCCCTGGAGATGTTGGAGCATCCTCAGGAGAGAGCAGCGCTCCTGAGCCAGATCCCTGGCCCCACGGCTGCCTATATAAAGGAGTGGTTCTCAGAGAGCTTGGTGAGTAGGCCCGTGGCCTATCTGGGGAACCACGGGGAACATAATCATGAAGTCCAAGAAATGCCACCACCACCTGGGCATGTTACTTCCTCCGTGTACCTTCCTGTCTTTAATTGCTTCCAGTGCAGCTTTAGTCAGCTCCCTCAGGGTGGTCCTTCCCAGGGGGAGGGTAGGACCCAGTCAAACAGCTTATGCTGCACAGTCAGCCTGCCTGTGCCTTCCAGCCCCCGTCTCAAGAAACGGAAATCCAGGGCCAGAGGAGAGCAGATGTGGAAGGCTTTTCCCTCCAGGATTACATGGGCCACTCACCGAGTTACAGTCCCTAGATGGGGTGTCTAACCCTGACTGAACCTCCTCTCCTTTTTCCTTACAACAGATGAGACCTCTGTTAACCTCATTCATTCCTCTGCTGTTGCCCCATGCTTCAGACCTCCTTGCCCTGGAAATGCTTCTCGTCCCTAGAGTGAGTGCAGGTTTCTTTACTCTCCTCCTGCTCGCTGTAGATCGTGCCCACACACCTGCTAGTTTCTAAGGGCTGCGGACGAGTAACCACAGCTGTAAGTATGTGGCTTTGGTTACTCATCTCCCTCCCTGTGGAGGCCAGCTGGTCAACAGTAAGAGACTAGTAACATCTGGAAGTGGGTCAGGTGAGAAGCTAGCCCACTGAGGAGCTGATCTGGAGTGAAATCACCCCAGGGCTGGAGGGAGGAACCCGGGAGCCAGAGGAAGCATGTGATTTCCTGTGCTGAGGTGGAGGGTGGGATGCAGTCTTCTAAAGATAGAGCCCTGCAAACCGGAGTCAAAATTGGAAAGCACACATAGATCGAGGAAAGCAGGAATGGGACCACTGGGTGGGGAGGGGGGCTTGATGACGGAAACCACAGACCCAGGAGGGTGAGGCGCCCCCGTCCAGAGCCACGTCATTTGTCACACGGTCCATCCCAGATGTCCTCACCTGCTTTCTGTTCAAGAGGCCTCTGTCAATAGTCTCATCCTCATGCCTTTCTCTGAACACTGAAGCGTTCATATGTGTCCATAACGTAACTCATTATATGTGTTATTCAGTATTTTGATTACACAGGCCAGGGGCGTCAAACTCATTTTCACGGGGGGCCACATCAGCCTCACGGTTGCCTTCAAAGGGCCGAATGTAATTTTAGGACTGTGTAAATGTAACTACTCTTTAACTAGTTAACTGGGCACAAGGAGCTCAGCATTGTGGCTGGGAAGAAACAAGGTGCCGGGCTGGGTAAAACAAGGTGGCGGGCCAGATTGGGCCCCAGGGCCTTGTGTTTGCCACCTCCGACATAGGCTCTCTGCCTGGTATTCTATGTGCATAGTACATGTGGTGGGGAGAAAGGTGTCTACATACCACTTGCCAGAACCTGTGAATATGTTACGTTACATGGTAAAGGGGAAGGTAGTGAGTGGAGTTAAGGTTGCTGATCAGCTGAGTTTAAAATGGGGCAAGTGGCCTGGATCATCCAATGTACTCACCAGAGCCCTTGCAAGTGGGAGGGGGAGGAGGAGTCAGTGTCAGAGTGACATGATCCAACCCCTCTGCTGCTGGCTTTAAAGACAGAAAGAGGCCAAGAGCTGAGGGATATAGGCAGCTGCTTGGAGCTGGGAAGGGGGACCCTCCCCTGAATCCCCCCGGAAGGAACAGCCCTGCCAGCACCTGGATTTCAGTCCAGTGAGACCCATTTTGGACTTCTGACTCCCAGACCTTAATATAATACTTTGTGTTGCTATAGGCCACTTGGTTTGTGGCAACTTGTTAATGCAGCGATAGGAAACTAATACAACTGGATTAGAGAGGAAGGTGGGGAAGGTTGCTGGGTGGGCCTCAGGTGGGCCTGTCACAGTTCAGGTTTGAAAACCTGCTTCTCCTTTCCTCCCTGAATGAAGACAGTCCTCGGTGGGCCTCCCAGACGTGTGCTGATAACGGACAGAAGCCCTTGTTGCTCACCCGCTGGCTCCTTTAACCGTAGTTGGGAGTTGCAGGGGGAATGGCTTCAGTAGTTAGTCTCTCCTCGCTCCTCTCCCACAGCTGCAGGGCACCGCTGGGACAACACCCCCCCCCCCTCCCTAGAGTTCCACAAGGAGCCCTCTGCTATGACAGTTCCGCAGCCTTCACAGCTCTGACCCCGGCTTCTCTCCAGTCACCTCTGGCTATCTTTTGCCTACCAACCTGGATACCTGTGGGTCCTATAGCTCACTTTCCTCCAGACATGGATGCCAACCCTCTCTCTGTTCCTGCTTGCACTGGTGACTCAGGCTGCAGTGTTTAGAGAAAGTTTTATGAGAGCTCCATAGTCCTTCAGTCTGAAACCCTTGTGTCCAGATGTGTTTTCAAGCTCAGAACTATTAAACTGTGGAAAGGTGAGGCAGTGGTATATAACATATACCATCTCTAGCAGGTACAGGTCAGGAAACACATGAACAGTTCTTCAGGAAACTTGCGAGCATCCACATGAAGTAGGATGAGGAGACTATACATATTCTCCATCCAGTTCAGGTCAGATATGCTGCCAGCTAAGTTTGGCACCAACTTTATTTTTAATAAAACAAACAAACTTGGTTTTCAGAATTGTCACGAGTTTCAGAATTGTAGGTAAGAGATAGTGGACTTACATGAAGAATATTCCAGTGCAGAAAGCAAAACATGAAACGAAGTGTTGAATATTGTATGTCACCATTCCCAATGTCCGTCAGCCATAATACCCCTCTGAGAGTCCCTTGCTCACTCTCTCTGTCCTTGGGCTGTCCTGTCACCATGTACCTGGGCCCCTTTGGTAGCTCCCTTCCTCTGCAGTTCCCTGAACATTTCATTAGGCTACAGAGCAGTTTTGCACCTTTTTATTTTAAATGCCCCATCACAGCTCTGCTCAGGACCTTACCACACATAACCGAGAAGTTCATTGGCGTGTCTTCACCTGCAGACCCAGTCTGCCCAGAGTACAGAGAAGAGCTGGTGTTTTATTCTTTACTATACAGCAACTACGTATTTTCACCTTGTACGGATGCACCTGAATGTGTGACCGTGTCTCTAGTATTGGCATTTCAGCTGTTTTTAACCATTCTCAATACATGGCATTGCCGCAGAGAATGTATTTGTGCAAGAATATGTTTCTTTTTGTCTAGGTATTTCCTTAATGAAGAGTCCTAAAAGTGGAATTACTGAGTTGAAGTAGACTGAACAGACAAAATACAGGATGCTCAGTTAAATTTGAATTTTAGACAAGTAACAAATAATTTTTAATAAATATGTCCTATGCACTTTACTCAATCTGACACCTCTGATCCAAAGGTATTGTTATCTTTGACACATTTTTCCAAACCACTTTTTAGAAAGATTTTACTCACATGTATTTTCATTAGCGGGGCTTCTGTGCATCCTGATAAACAATAACCACTAAAATTTAAAAAATAAAACAGGCTTTCTAATTTCATAGGGAAATGTTGTCCTTTTATCGTTGTTGACTGGCTTCGTTTAGTAGGAAGATGAAGCATTTTTTTCATTCGCTTAGTATTTATTCTCTGAATGGTCTCTGAAGTATTGATCTTATACCCCTATCTGAAAAAAGTTTATTTTCTACATATACATATTCAGCTATGCAGTAATGTCCCAAGGTATGTAAATTATATTTTTGAGATTTTTAAAGGACGGGTTAAAAAATTAGTTTCAATATTTTTTACGTACCCCAGAGATCACTTTCAGTTCCTGGTTGTATCTACCCTGTCCTGGTCTTTTCAATTCTGTGCTTTTTTTCTATTAGAATTTTAATGCTTTCTTCATGTACTAGGTTGGCCAAAAAGTTCATTTAGTTTTTTCCATATGATGGTTCTAATAGTGCTTATCTGTCTTTAACTTCATTTGAAACAATTTTATTTGATTGTATTGTGACAGTTGTCATATCAGCATGCATTTAAAAAAAACATCAAAATTGGTGAATTTTTATGCATCCATATTAATTTGAAGATGGAAAAATATACACAACGCTTTTGGCGCATTGTGCTTTGTTATTTCAAGAAAGGTAAAAATGCAACTGAAATGCAAGGTAGGATTTGTGCAGTGTATGGAGAAGGTACTGTGATTGATCAAACATGTCAAAGTGGTTTGCAAAGTTTCTGGTACTATTGACATTTTGGCCAAAGTCTCTGGTACTATTGACATTTTGGCCAAATAATTCTTTGCTGTGGGGCTGTCTTATGCATTGGAAGATGTTTAACCCACTGTTTAGCCCTGTCTTCTACCCACTAGAAGTCAATAGCAGGAGACAGCCAACATACTTTAAATATCCAGATCAATAAGGTTATTGGTAAAAATGAAAAATGTGTCTTTTACTGTATGGAAAAAAAACTGGAGGGATTTTTTTGGTCAACCCAATGTTTAAATGACCCTTATTATTGGCCCTTTGTTTTATTTGCAACATATATTTCCTCATGCTCTTTTTAAATGTTTTAAATGTTGTTTTTGGTACTTTTTGAGACCTGGGAATTTAAAAGGATTGTAGTAGTTCACTATCAGTCTTTCCTGTTTGGATTTCCTTTTTATCTCTACAAAAGCCTTTCCCAGCCTCAGGTCAAATAATATTCTTCTTTATTTTCCTTTAGTAGGCTTATGGTTTGATTTATATCTTATGGTTAACTCCAATTCATCAGCAGTGTTTTTTAGTGTGTTGTGAAATACAGATCTAACTTATAATTTACCCAAGAAGATTCAAAACTTCTTTTTATTCAAAGGCAGCCAATGTAGTTATTGGTTTTTGCAGGATTCATTGCAAAAACAGCTTGTACTCAGATTTACAGATCTCTTTGGGGGTTATTTACAATGGTTGGGGAAATACCTTCCTTTGGAGAGATTTTCCTAAAAATTGTTGCATTCATGTATCTTTTAGAGTAATTATGGCCATCCACGACCTATGAATGGTGTACTTTGCTGGAGTCAAAAGTTCATATAAACATTCCATTATACCAGAGCCGAATGTTAATGTTTT